TGGAGCACATCTGATTACGTATTATGAGAGAATCTTCATGTGCCAGGCTGTCCATGGGGAGTGAGCATTTACTGGGATTTCCCTGAGCAGCAGATGGTGCTGGTTGGGACTGAGGCATGAGATGCAGCTGTAGGGAAGGACAAGTCAGTTGTATGAATGCAGTGCTCAGAGATCTACAAGTATCCATCATTTCCAGAGTCTCATCACTTCTTTCTCAGCCGCTGGTACAGTGGATGTGTCTCTCTCTTTTTTTTTTTCTTTTTTTTTTCTTTTCATTAAATCTAGATCATGTTAACACATGCTTGAACTAGGCAGAGCTTTCTACTTCTTTCTATATTCTCTGTCCTGGCTGCTGCCTGGACATTGCTAAGTGGCAATCTCTGACATATACATTGGGAAGCACCGACAGCTCTTCTTTGCCCTTTTCTCTGTCTCGAGCAAAGAAAGACAAGGTAGTTGAAGGAGAGAATGAGAAATAAAGAAGTCTCATTTGCCAGTGTCACTTTTCCCTGAGAAAAGGAATTTGCCATCTAAACCAAGTGTAACATTGAAATCAGCTTACATTGAAAGTCCCCTGCCAAAGTAGTGAGAAAAACATACTGTGAAGTGGATCTACTGTGTTTCTCTGGCTGAAGAGGGAAAAAGCAGGCAGGGAAGAGCTCCAGGGCACTGCAGTACCACATGGTAATCTTGGGGAAGCTCAGCTTTTCACACTCTTCCCCTTCTCTCCTGGCCACCACGCTCCAGTAAAGCCAGGTCTGAGTCAGATCTCTGTTGGAAAAGGAAGACTACTTTTCTTTCCCCCATAACAGGAAGACTAATAATAACTTTAAGGACAGGAGCACAAACCATGTGGCTACAAGCTCTGTAGATCTTGTGGCCGAAGCCCCACAGGTGGAAATTGTCAACGGGGAGTAACCAAAGGCCATTGCAGGAGTAATGGCAGCAGTCCCTTTCCCCCCCTGAAAATGTAAGTATTTAATCTGGATAAATTCTGTAAGTTACAATAACAGCTGTATTTTAGTGGTTTTCTGATACATTAATGAGAAGGGATGAGAATGTTCAAGATCTGGTCTGTGCTCTATAAAGATGTCTTTAAAATAATTCCATTAATATTTAGATTAGTATCTCCTGCTGTAATACTAACAGCTTGTGGATAGAAAATAGAAGAATGCTTAAAAACGCTAGGCAAACAGCCAGTTTGTATCATCATTCACCTGTGAACAGATTAGCTGAAGAGTCACTGATAGATGAATCCTAAATATTTTTTTTCCATCCCTATTGGAATGAAGGCTCTGCTAAAAACAAACCTTGGTTCAGTTCTCCCTGGAGCAGAGCTCTACGTACAGTTTCTCTGGTGAAAATCTGGACTATTGGAAATCAAATCCTGAATCCCCTGAAGTCAGTAGGACCAGCATTTTGCCCCCTGTGCGTTAAACATCCTTCCATTGTGAAAGCTCCTTGGAAGAAGGTGAAAGATGTGATCTGTGACACCTGAACTAACCCACTGTGAGGCGTGGGGATGTGCTGCCATAAACTTGGCACGAGCCCAGTGCATTTCTAGGATGGGGTGGTACGTCAACATCAAATCCATCTCAAATGCAATCTCATGCATTGGGGGTGATGCAGACACAAATAGGTTCTCTATTGTGGACATCTGTCACCAATTTCAGTGTTTCCGTATTCTTTCAGAACATATCTGGAATGCCAGAATTTCACAGAATGTAGAGAACTGCTATCTTCTGATGAGTCCTGACCATGAATGTAGCCAAAAATACATGAAAAACATCTACTATCTGAAGATGCTGTGGTTTTTTTTCACCTGACATGTTTTACAACCTTATTCTGAAAATGGTCCCCAGATACCCCAACAGGCAAACAATAACTAAAATTCCAACTAAAAATCTCCACTTCTGCCTAATGTTTTCCTCAGACATGATGTGATATTGAGAGACTGTTCTTGACTTGCAGGCTTCTAATTTATTTAGATAGTTCTGATGCCTGTGCTGGAGGGCCCTAATTGTTGCTTGGATTTTAAATATATGAAAGGAATAATGCACCAGGACTTGAAATGAGGAAAGAAGAAAATTACTGGAGTGATGCAGAGAAATCCTTTAGACAAATTCATAGTAGTGGTAATGTATATGAAAACATTCGAGCTTTTAAAAATAATTCTATGAAATTTTCTGAGAAAAAATATGTTTTCATCTTCTATTTTTTAAAGAGGTCACTAAAAAAAAAGTCAAACTTCTGTTAAATGAATAAAACCCTTTTTCCCCAAACATTTTAGTTCCCCTTTCCAGCTTATTTTTTCTCTGGAAGTAGAGGAAGAATGGAAATGAATGAATGTTTTGTACTGTTTCAAAGTCCAAAACTTCAGAGGCTGCATAGAGAAACTTGCAACATCAAGTACATTTTGGTACATCCCTGTTGTTTGGAAATGTTTTCTGTTTATAATACGACCGTCAAACATTATTTTGGAGAAGAATAAGGAGGTTTACTAAATTGTTGGAAGTAATAGGAGAATTCTGTTAGGCTCCAAGTGAATATGTACTCTTAGTACATATTCTTTTATTCAGTAGGCTACGTCATGCATTGCTTACTGACACAGGTATTTCTAGGGAATTCAAAGTAACTGAGCAGATATTAGCTATCTTTTAATGATACATCATGTGCTCCTTGAATTTGCTATGGAAAACTGTCATTTCAAAAGCCAATACATTATTCTAGACACCGCTCTGTTCAAGATGTCTATTTTTTAAATTATGCCCAATACTTTTCACATACGTAGCTTCACTTGCACATTTTCTCTCCCCTGTCAATGAAAGCTTATGCAGAGGCATGCTTTGTCAGTCGTATTTCCACAGTAACAGAGAAGACAAAAGCAAGTTTGGGGAGCAGGTAACTCAGAGCTTTTATCGCAGCTATCTTCTGAAGGGTTTCTACACTACATTAACCCTACTTTTTTGGTTTTATACTGAGTATTTTTCATTGCATTCAGGAAATCGGTGCCCTGAAATGTTTACCACTTACCACCCCATAAGAACAGGCAGATCATGGTTACTGCATCACTTTATGGGCTGATCATTGTGACTTGTCTCATGTGATTAAAATTAGATGTTTATCTGAATCAAAGTTATTCAAGTAGTCTCTCTCAGCTTGTGAGCAGAGGAACTTGGAGGGAATATATAGTGTCATTTACCTAAATCCCTGTCTGGAGCAGTTGTGGAAGAATAGGGTGATTGTAAATGAGTTTCTTAGCTTTCTAGTCCTAATGAAGTGGAGAAGAACAGTCTTATGCATAGATTTCCTTCTGCAGTTCCATGTCTATATGATGTAAAATTCTTGAACTGTGAGCCTGATTTAGGAACATACACCTGGAAGATTCTTGTATACTTAGGTCTTGAGTTACTATGTAGGATAATGATCTATTGTAATAATTCTACTTAGCAAGCTGGACGGTTACAGCTGCATTTGGTTTTCTTTGTAAAATACCTAGAATCCTGAGACATTTTGATTTTAAAATAGTAGGGCTACGGACCCTTCAAGCATTCAAAACAACTGGTATATTTCTAAAGAAAGGGATTTAAAGTGCACAGTTTCTTTTCTAGGAGCACAATTAAAAACTGTTGTTCAGTTCCTCAGGGCTGCAAGGTACCAGGCTTGGCTGGAGGCTTTCTGCAACTGTCAGGTGATTCAGTTTAATTAATCTGGGAACTAATCTCCCAAAGTGCTGAGCAACTTGAGCTGCTGTACTGTAAATAGTGGTCATTTGCTGCAGATTTTTAGGGAGAACCAGGTAATCTCTGAAGATTCTTGCTATGTGCAGTTGTATGACTTGTGTGCAGTACTGACTTGTCAGAGGATGTTTTTGTCGCATTCTCTTGTACATTTTATATTGTATTTGTTTTTAAAATGGACAATATTTTGGTGGAAGGTGCTGCAGACATTTATACTGGCAGTGTGGGCTATGTTCCTTCCAACTTTAACAACTCTTTAGAATGGTGATGGAACATGACATCTTTTGCTTCGAGGGTATTGGTTTAAATCCATTTTATAGTCAGTAGTCAATGCCCCTTGACTTCTCTCAGTGATTTGTGTAAAACAATCTGGAAGTGCTAGCTCAGTTCTCACCACATGTATTTCCACATCACAAAAGCTATGTTTGAAAATTGTATCTGCTGCAAAAAAAAAAAAAAAGGAGAAGGCTGTACTTGGTTTGCAGTAGAAGTGAGATTAGGCATGGAAGAGCAGAAGCGTGATCCCCAGGATTTGAATCTCACAGTCTGAATGTAAAGATTTCAAGTTCCAAAAAATGGGGAATAACATAAGAATGAAATAATGTATTCATTCAACATTTGTGGTGTGACATCAACCAACTAAAAGGAATTAAAAAAAAATCACAGACTAGGTAAAAATAAAAGTTAAGGATAGAAAGCATCCATTTGAGATTAGAGGAGAAATTGAGGGAAGCCATATGCAGCCACTCAGCAATAAGCAAAGCCTTAAATTGTCATTTAAGATTTACACATCTGCTACCAGTGCATACTCCTAAATGGTACAGTGAAGCTCTGATCCCATTTAAGAGACCAAACATCTATTTATGTGATAGACTCTGGGTTTCACTTAAAAGCTGAATATGTGAAGGCATTTTACTAGAGGTCTGTCTGATCCACCAGTGGGTTGGAGCTTATTCCAGAGCTTTGTGGCCCTTGTGTACCCCTTTCTCCTTTTTTTTCTTTGTGATCTTCTTTTGCAGTGGGAGGCATTTACACTGTGATCCAGACAAAAGCGAAAATTACAGCAGATGAATGGGGTGAAAACTATTTTCTGGTTGGTCCCTATTTTGAGCACAATGTGAAGACTCAGGTGGAAGCATGTGAGCCTCCAAACCCTGCAGTTAAGAAGGCAATGGACACCATGAAAAGCCAAGGGTGTCAGGTAAATAAGATGTGCTACTGCTTTCCAGGGCAACAAAGCTGACTCTGAGGAGATTACAGTTTTGGTTAATGCTCTTGCTGTTCCACTTGACACAGCAGTCCTGGTCAATGTCACAATAGGAAAGGCTCAGAATCCACTGTTAGAACAACAGAGTCAATTCATTAAAGGTTCTTTTTGAGGAAGAACCAGTTTATCCAATTACAGGTTTTAACAGTCATTTATCTGCAAGTCTGGTTAATTGGATTGATGACTTATCTATCCAGTCTCTAAATACAGTGAGATTTTAGTAGATATAATATGACCTTACTTTGACTGAACCCTTATGTTACATTTGACACTCTTCTGCTGGAGAGGGAAAAGCATTCCACTCGCTCACAATTTTTCTTAGGAGGCATTATATTGAGTTGAGAGCCAGAAAGGGACAAACCACAGGTGGACTTAAGAAGACCACCCAACTGATAAAGAATCTGCTCTGTTGGATCAATGCAACTAGTTGTCTGTTCCCGAGGAAGAAAGGTTAAACCACAGCACAAGGAGTGAGTTCATCTGTGTTTTCTACACAATTTTTAGCCAGTGTTTTCTGTGTGATCTCAGCCAAACCTCATAGCCTCTCTGTGACTGTTTCTCCAACAATAAACTAGAAATGAATTTTTTCTATAAAGGTGACATGCTGAAAGGAATAGAATCTGCTGTGTTGGTGAGCAAGCTACTAAGCTGCAAGCAGCTGCACCCTTGAGGACAATAGATTACCTGAAAATGAGTGGAAGATAACACATGTGAAATCTGACCTCTGTTCTTGAAAGTCTTCATCAGAGATCTAGAACTCACCTTCACTTTCATTCAGCATTGAGTTCCTCAGAGATGCTAATTGGCATGTTGGGGACAATAATACTGTGTGATGCTTGCATCGTTCAGGTTGAAGTTCAAACTAAAAGGTTGGAACTTTTAGTTCTAAATCCAACTGCCATTTCTTATTTCTAATCAAATTTTTGTAAATGATTGGTCAAGTTGTCTTGTTGCCTCTGTTGCATGCCTCATGTCTCTACAGGCTGTGTAATGCTCTTTTGTGTGGAAAACAGCTAAAGATTTATGGGGCAGATTAATTGCAATGCTGTATGTGTACAGTTCTTGTTGTTCCAGCAATGCATTCAATTTAATCAGCCAACTCTGCCAGCCCAACATGTGCATTGTGCTGCTGGCGTATTCACATAGAGCAGCAAATCTGTCCCAGGTACCTTAAGTATAGCTTTGATCTCAAATAATGATGCTTATCCTATTAACATTTATGTCTGGATTTTGCTTATGCATCACAATGGATCCCTTTAAACCAGGGGACCCAGTAACACTTCCAAACTTCGCAGGTCAAGTGTGTTCCTTGCCACAGCCTGACTTCGTATTTAGGTGAAGAATGGGTTCACACAAACTCCTTGCTCTTTAACCTCATTTTCCTGAGTAAGAAACCTAGATAGCCTGAAATAAGTACATAAGGAGCTGACCCTCCTTCACACACCTGTCTTTGTTGCACCCTGTATTTTTTGTGCAAATGGGTCTAAGAGCCTTCACCTCATTGTTTTCAAGACTTGACCTCTACTGAACCAATTCTAACATCAGGGCTGGGTTCAAGCCCTGAGGTCCCACGGGCTGGTGAATGAAAGGAGATTGAATAGTGGCATAAAAGATTTCTCTGCATGGGGTATAAACTGCAGTAGTCTCCCTATAGTACCTTGTTCTTCCCAGTTAATATGTCTCTGCTGCTTAGAATCATAGAATGATTGGTTGGAAGGTACCTTAAAGATCATTTACTTCTAGTGCCCGTGCCATGGGCAGGGACACCTCCCACTAGAGCAGGTTGCTCAAAGCCCCATCCAGTCTGGCCTTGAACACTTCCAGGGATGGGGCAACCACAACTTCTCTGGGCAGCCTGTTCCAGTGCTTCACTACCCTCACAATTTAAAATTTCTTCCCAATAACTGATCTTAATCTACCGTCTTCCAGTTTGAAACCATTACCCCTCATCCTATCACTACATCCTGTAGTGTAAAAAGTCCCTCTCCAGCCTTCCTGTAGGCCCCCTTCAGCTATTGGAAGGGCACTATAAGGTCTGCCCAGAGCCTTCTCCAGGCTGAACAACCCCAGCTCTCTCAGCCTGTCTCCATAGGAGAGGTGCTCCAGCCCTCTGATCATCTTTGTGGCCCTCCTCTAAAACTGCTCCAACAGGTCCATGTCCTTCTTGTGCTGAGGACTCCAAAGCTGGATGCAGTATTCCAGGTGAGGACTCACCAGAGTAGAGGGGTAGAATCACCTCCCTCGATCTGCTGGACATGCTTCTTTTGATGCAGTCCAGGCTACAGTTGGCCTTCTGGGCTGCAAGTGTGTATTGCTGGCTCATGTTGAGATTCTCATCAACCAGCACCCCCAAGTGCTTCTCCTCAGGACTGTTCTCAATCCATTCTCCATCCAGCCTGTATTTGTGCTTGGGATTGCTGCGACCTAGGTGCAGGACCTTGCACTTGACCTGGTTGAACTTCATGGCATGGCATGGCATGGCATGGGCCCACCTCTCAAGCCTGTCCAGGTCCCTTTGGATGGCATCCCTTCCCTCCAGCATGTTGACTGTGCCACACAGCTTGGTGTCGTTGGCAAACTTTCTGAAGGTGCACTCAATCCCAACATCCATGTTGCCAAGAAAGATGTTGAACATCACTGGTCCCATTAGCAACCCCTGAGGAACACCACTCATCACTGGTTTCTGCTTGGACATTGAGCCATTGACCGCAACCCTTTGAGTGTGGCCATCCAGCCAGTTCCTTATCCACCAAGTGGTCCCTCCATCAAATCCATGTCTTTCCAATTTAGAGACCATGGTGTCATGTGGGACAGTGTCAAACACTTTGCACAAGTCCAAGTAGATGACAGTTGTTGCTGTCCCCTTATCCATCAATGCTGTAACCCCGTCATAAAAGATCACCAAATTTGTGGCATGACTTCCCTTGGTGAAGCCATGTTAACTATCACTGATCACCTCTTTATTTTCCATGTGCCTTCCAGGAGGATCTGATCCATGATCTTTTCAGGCACAGAGGTGAGACTGACCAGCCTGTAATTCCCCGAGTCTTCCTTTTTTCCCTTTTTAAAAAAGGGAGGTAATGTTTCCCCTTTTCCAGTCAGTGGGAACTTCACCAGAGTGCCATGACTTCTCAAATGTAATGGAAAGCGGCTTAGCAATTTCATCTGGCAGCTCCCTCAGGACCCATGGGTGGATTTCATCAGGTCCCATGGACTTGTGTACCTTCAGGTTCCTTAGGTGGTCTCGTTCTTGATCATCACCTACAGTATACGGTTCTTCATTCTCACAGCCCCTGCCTTTGCCCTTTGCGACTTGCATGGTGTGGTTAGAGCCCTTGCCGGTTCAAACTGAGGCAAAAAAGTCATTGAGTACCTCAGCCTTCTCCGTATCCTGGGTGACCAGGTCTTTTCTTTCCTTCTGGAGAGGGCCCGCATCTTCCTTAGTCTTCCTTTTAGCATTAACATCCTTATAGAAGTTTTTCTTGTTGCCCTTGATGTTCCTGGCATATTTAATTCTATCTGGGATTTAGCTTGCCTAACCTGGTCCCTGACTGCTTGGACAGTTTCTCTGTATTCTTCCCAGGCTACCTGTCCTTGCTTCCACCCTCTGTAGGCCTCCTTTTTGCTTTTGAGTGTGTCCAGGAGCTCCTTGTTCATCCGTGCAGGCTTCCTGGCTTTTTTACTGACTTCTTTGTTGGGTTACATTGCTTCTGAGCTTGGAGGCGGTGATCCTTCAATACTAACCAGCTTCCTTGGGCTCTTCTCCCTTCCAGTGCCTTATCCATGGAACCCTACCAAGCAGATTCGTCAAGAGGCCAAAGTCTGCTCTCCTAAAGTCCAGGGTAGTGGCTGTGCACCCTCCTTGCTGCCCTAAGGATCTTGAACTCTACCATCTCATGATCACTGCAGCTGAGACTACCCTTGAGCTTGACATTCCCCACTAGCTCCTCCTTGTTGGTTCAGCATATGTAGGACAAGGTCCAGTATTGTTCCTCTCCTTGTTAGCTCTTCTTCCACTTGGAGAAGGAAGTTGTCCTCAATGCATTCCAAGAAATTTGTAGATTGCTTGTGCCCCACTGTGTTGTCCCTCCAACAGATATTGGGGTGGTTCAAGTCCCCCATGAGGACTAGGGCCTGTGAACGTGATGCTGCTTCTATCTTGTCTATAGGGGGCCTCATCTTCTCCATCATCCTGGTCAGGTGGTCTGTAGCAGACCCTTGCTGTAATGTCACCTGCCCCTGTGTTCCCTGTTTCCTCTCCATTGGGTCTTCATCCATCCCCAGGTGGAACTCCATGTACTCCAGCTGGTCATTGACATAGAAGGCAACACTCCATCTCCCCTGCCTGCCCTTCCTAAAGCCTGTATCCTTCCATTCCAACACTCCAGCCATAGGAGCCATCCCACCATGTCTCTGTGATGCCAATAAGATCATAGCCCTGGAGTTCTCTGCACGTCTTTAACTCTTCTTGTTTGTTCCCCATGCTACTTGCATTTTCATAGAGGCACTTAAACTGGATCCCTGGTTGGAGTGGCTGCAATTCCTTTGTGCTGCTCTCCAGGTGGCCTTCTTTTGAGGGTTTTTTGGTGGTAGAATTAATGTGAAATAATTTGACTGTGCAGGCTGGTACAATCTGTATTGTGTTGCCTTACGACATTTCAGCCTATTCTCCTGGTTGGGCAGGTAGGTTATGTCAGTGGAGTTCTAAATACTCTTCGAGATGTTTAACTATGCTGATGCAGATAAAGTAGGAAAGCTGTGGGTTTGGGCTGATGTGATTTTTAGCTATTATTATACCTTCTGATTGATCGTTCTACTCTGCCAAAGGACATCAACTGTGCTGCCTGGAGAGAGTGAGGAAATGTCATCGTAGATACAGTTCCTGAGCACCTGTCCCACAAAATCTGTCAGCAGTAATCTAGCATAAATGGTGAAAGATTGATAATAAATGTGACTGAAATAAAAGAATTATTTTGAAATAAGAACAAAAATGGCATAGATACTTCAATAAGAATGTAAGACCTCATTATTCAACCAAGTGTAGTCTGCCTAAGCTTGCTTTCATTAGAAAAAGTTAACATTGTAATGAAAAACTAAAATTCAAGTCTTAAAACTAGAATGTTCTTAAAGATTGTAATTTTCTTTTACCCTGTGTTAGGTCCAGTATTACTCCATGTATTTTGCAAGGAAAACCACAAATGCTGGGTGTGTAGGACTATGATCACACATTCCTTATGTACAATACTTAAGAATTGATGGATGAGAATAGTTATGCTAACTGGCCTTTACATTTACTTTTACATTTTCTGCTTATATCTTTGCCTCTTCCCCATAGGTCTTTTTTGGAAGATGGCTGATAGAGGGAAGCCCATATGTCTTACTGTTTGATATAGGATCAGCAGCTTGGAATCTGGACAAGTGGAAAGGTGAATTTTGGGATGTCAGCAACATAGGAATCCCTTTTCATGACCGAGAAGCCAACGATGCTGTGATTTTTGGATCGTTAACAGCCTGGTTTTTAAAAGAGGTACAGTTGTTACAGAGATTCTCAAACCTCAGCGTTGTCAGCAGGGCAAAAGAGCTTTGGATTGTGGTTCCTATTCTCCAGTTTGAAAACTATGATTTTAAGGAAGTTGATACCAGTTGTAGATCAAATTTGTATTTAAAATTAAAATCTTAAGCGGTCCTTTAATTATATTTTCTGGGAGAATGTGGGCCGTCGGTTGGGGGTGGGATGCTGATCTACGTCAGATTTTGGGATGTGTCTTTACTGTCCGTTCCCCCTCTGTTTCTTCTCAACTTCCTTGTTTGTCACTGGGTGCCCTTAGATGTAGGATCTCAAACTGCCTTTTTCTCTCCAACTGTAGTCAAACTGTCACACTCACAAACTGTTCTTGAAGCTGGTCAAGCCATCTGTCAGTGATTAGGTACTGCCTTGCACAGGGAATATAGACAGACAGAAAGAATTAATGATAGCACTATGACTTCACATGTCGCTCTACCATAGCCTGCCTGAAGAGAGGAAACTGTTAATCTGTGGAATCATCTGTCTGTTATAGGTGCTCATGATTTTCTTATCCAAACAAAAGTTTCAGCAGCAGAAGAGCAAGTTAAAAGAAACAAGTGACTGTGCTTGCCAAAGCTCCCCAACACTCTAGGAAGGATACTGTCCTGAGGTACTAGTAAGGCACATGTGCTTTTTGGGCTAAAGATTAGGGCTGATGGGAATCAAGATGCATGACCACTTAAAACTCTGTACTGCTTTGTCATATGAGAGAAAGCAAGCACACAGAAGAAGGCATGGAAAGAAGAGGTTTCTGTAGCTGGGATGATGAGCATCATAATGTATGTTCTTTCTCATTATTTTCAGCTTTCCTGTCAGTTTGATGACAAGCCCAACATAATTGCTCATTTCCATGAGTGGCAGGCAGGAGTGGGTTTAATACTGTCTCGGTCTCAGAAACTTCCTGTTGCTACAATTTTTACTACCCATGCGACTCTACTTGGGAGATACCTGTGTGCAGCCAATATAGATTTTTACAACAATCTTGACCAGGTAAGAGACATTTCCTCATTCCTTCTTTTTTTCAGTTAATCAGCTTCCTGCTCCTTTTCTATTTACTGTGCTACACCATATCGTATGTTGTGAGATAACTTATGATTGATCCACAGCTGAGTGATTGGCTGTCAGTTCCAGAGCACAAGAAATGGTATTTGTAAGACCATGTGGTGTCGAGGCATGAGTGCCTTTGTCTCTCTATCATCTGACAGATCTTAAAGCTCAGTGGAGTCTCTAGAATACTTGTGCTACCTTCAGTTAACTTTGGTTTACCAGATTTGCACTGTAGAGGACTGAAACTTATTCAGTCTCCAGTCAAGTCAGCACCTTAGTCCAATCCACTGATACATGGAGTAATACTGCAGCAGTATGAGATTGAAAAGAAGGTTAAGAATTTCTCTTGGCAATGGTTTGGGACATTTTTCAAAAGCAGTGGGAGAGTTATGGGCCCAGACAATGTTATAAGTTAAGTGTCCTTGAGAATCTTCTCCTTTGTGTTCACGAAAGACATCCATTGCTTGAGTTGATTGCTGTGGTTTGGGAGTTACTGGTACCAGTATGAGTAACCAGTGAATGTAAAACCTATTCAGCTGCAGTCATCATCTGATGTATGCAGGTTCAGGTGCAGCCTCACACCAGTCCTTCTTAACAAAAGGCAGTATTAAAAATAGCCAGTAGCCCTCCTCTTGTTGAAATTACCCTGGAATTCCATAAATTATCTTTTCTCTTTCGCTAAGCTACTTCTTAATTCTTCCAAGTCATAAGTCCTGCTACTTTCAGGCTTTTCAGATTAGGCTACATTGTAACTGACAAATGTAGGAAGTATTTTAGGAGATCAAAAGACCACATCCGTTTCTTGGAATTTTTGTTATCTAGTGGTTTTGGTTTTCACTGTTCTCTTTCCACTCAAAGCATAACACAAACCAACCTTTTAGGGACCCAGATGTCTTTAGCACTGCCTTCAGTAGAGGTACATTACCTAATCTGGGATTTCTAATATGGTTACAGACAAACTGAGTTCAAGAGATTTTTGCATTCCAGCACTTACTGAGGGTAGAGGTAGTTAAAAGACTAAAGCAGCTGCCTTATTCACTGTCCATGCATTTCCTTGGCTAAAATCAATGAAAAAAGCTACTCAGTTGGCAATTTTCAGTTGGATGTTTGGAGCTCGACGCTCTGTAGAACAGCATCTTCCAAAGACAAGGCCCAAGCAGCAGTGTGCTACTGGCCTTATTCAGAAGCTCGGAATAGATTAACAGTCCATTGTACTCCAAGGAAACAGTCAATCACCTTACTTTTTTTTTTTTCTTTTCTGTCCCACCAAAAGCAACTGTTGGATCTGCTGACCACACTAGGAGTCAAAGACTATGTTCAGTCATTTACTCGTGCGCATAAAGGTTGCAGCACGGTGGTGTTTTGGGGGAATTCTCTCTGCCCAATATGAGGTAGCTAACATAGATGGTTACTCCTCCAAGCACCATCTATCATGAGTGGAATTACACTGGCCTCTTCACAATCAGTGTAAGGCAAACAGCCTCAGATTACCATCAGAAAGATCTGTCTCTATCTATCACCTAGGAAAACTAGCCTCCTAAATTATATTAGGTGCATTAATGAGGCAGCATGAATAACCCAGTCCTGTTGTCAGACCCAAGTTAGAGGAGTCTAGACATTCCCACTCCCTCATAATCTCCTTATGTGTATATATGCAAAATCTAGCTTTAAAGTCACATTAAGTTATTTTTCTCTGGAGAGAGTTAGATTAAAAGAACTAAAACTGTGCAGTTTCAGGTTTAACACTTGAGAAAGTGGGGACTTTTCAGCAGTAACTATTCATTTAGCCTTGCATCTTACAGATAATTAGTAAATAAGCCGTAGGAAAAACAAACAAACAAACAAAAAGGATTTCTAGACCTTAGTGCTTTATGCCCTCTGTGGAGAGATTGACATTTAAAGGCACTAATAGAGAAAATGGTGCCAACCTGCTATACTACTGTTTAACATGTTTATAATGTGCTAAAGCTTTCCCTGAAAAAACTAACTTTTAGTAAGAGATCAGATGTCTTAAAGAGGACTCTTCTGGTTGTAAAAAGGTCAACCTGGCCAAAAAGTCAGTTGAGAAACATGAGAGGTTGATCTGGAGTACAATAATTAAATGATACAAATAGCTAAGTCTTCAGAGGCTGTTCTTGTTCTTGTCTTCTAGTAATAAACTGTTAATTGTACAGTAGAGAAGATTTTCCAGGGCTTCCTAATGTTTAATCTTTGGATGAGACAATGTATTTTCAGGGCGTGTCATCCCCTCCCACCCCAAAGGAGAAGGGCTGGTTTTCCTGTTTCAGTGTTATTGCATATTTTTCTTTCTTTAAAGCATTATAATAATAATTTTCTTTAAGTTCTTACTTTGGATCAGCGTTTCATGGTTGGAACACAATTTCCAGGACAGCAAGGACAGCAGTTCTAAGGACAGCAGCTAAGATGGTTGGGAAAAATGCAACTGTAATATGTGCTGTGCCAGATATCATAGAATCATAGAATTGTCTAGGTTGGAAGAGACCCTTGGGATCATCGAGTCCAACCATCTCCCCTACTCTACAAAGTCCTCCCCTACACCATGTCCCTCAGCACTGCATCTAAACGGCCCTTAAACACAGCCAGGGATGGTGACTCCACCACCTCCCTGGGCAGCCTGTTCCAATGCCCTGTCACTCTTTCAGTGAAAAATTCTTTCCTAATGTTCAATCTAAACCTCCCCTGTTGGAGCTTGAAGCCATTCCCTCTCGTTCTGTCACCAATTACCTGTGAGAAGAGACCAGCCCCAACCTCTCTACAGTGTCCTTTCACGAAGTTGTAGAGAGTGATGAGGTGGAAAACTATTGCAGCACAAAAAGGAATGGTATGGTTTAATTGTGCCTGGAGACAATCAGGTGTGCACAGCCTTTGCAGAGGAAAGAGGAAACCTCATGTTCCCTTTTCTAGTCCCAAATACAGACCACAAAAAGCTGGCTTAGGACGCCTGCAAGAGAGAGTTCTACTCAGCCCTGCGAGGCCAAGTGGTTTTCTGCAGCGTTAAGGGATTTAACAGTGGGATCCACAGGCAAAATCATGACGTGACTGTTTGATGACTGATAAAAGATATTTGCCTGGCATTTTCACAGTCCTTTCTCTTCACAGTGCCCCGAGTGTGTGTGGCCAGCGTGTTGTTCCTCACCATAATATTTCCTGTTAGGCCTGACACTGTAACTGTAACTGACACACACACACACACACACACTTTAATTCACCTTCCTAGCAAAGCTCAATAGGTGCCAATTGGCACAAGTATAGAAGGTACAAAAGTATTCTCTGAAGTAAGCCAGTGAGGTCAGTAGCTTCACACCAGAGAAGACTTTGGCCCAAGTCCCAACTTGTTTGGAGCGAACGTCAATATCAGTGATGAGGCAAAGGGTTGTGCAGTGCGGGGTGGCTGACATTTTCTCTAGCACTTCTATAAACAAAGAGCTCAAGTCACCAGCCCCTGGCAGGTGATAAAACTGGAAGGGAAGGCTCTATGTGGTCTTCTGATAGCCCTTACAAACACTGAACATGTGACAAGTTGACCTTCAGCTTAACTAGTCTTTTGGGGAAAAGTTAAGAATGACTTAGTGAAGGGTTGCCACACTGTGACGCATGATTCTTTACAGATTCCCTAGATCGCATAGAGGATGAACCTTAGGCTAACAAAATTCTTTGTTTCTTGAGCTGGGGGCACATGTGAGCTTGTGAGCTGTAAGAGGACATTTTCTAGGGGACTGAAAACTTAGTCACAGAATCACAGAATCTTAGTGGTTGGAAGGGACCTCTGAGATCATCGAGTCCAACCACAAAAAAAAAAAAAAAAAAAAAAAAAAAAAAAACACAAAAAAAAAAAAAAAACAAAAAAAAAAAACAACAAAAAAAAAAAAAAAAAAAAAAAAAAAAAAAAAAAAAAAAAAAAAAAAAAAAAAAAAAAAAAAAAAAAAAAAAAAAAAAAAAAAAAAAA